ACTTGTTTGTGTGAGGGCAGGGTCTTTGTGACTTGCCTTCCTGAAGCACCGAGTGTTAGGACTTGTCAGTGGAAGATGTTGTTATGTGGCATTGTTCTGACACTGTTATCTCTGTACCTAAATATAGGTTTGAACACTTTGATGCCACCATCTGTGAAGGAAGACTTTCTCTAGGGACTATTCCTTTAAGTTTACTGTTCCAGTCACCTTTCAAAGATACTGGTGTGGGATTTTTAAAACAGTGACTGTTTAACAAAGCATTTGTGACATTTGGCAAAATGTGGGCAATGTTATGGGATTTACTATGAATTCTTTATACTTTTCTCCCCCAAATCTGAAAAGGCTCAAAATGTTGGTGTAAGTGTGATGAAAAATCTTCACTTCACAGTGGGAATACTTTATGTGAAACTGTATGTTTGAAATCCAGTTCCAAGTGGTCATTCCCTGTAGCCCCTGTGCCAGGTGTTGCTGGGACTGAGCAGTGTTTTGCCTCCCCAGTTCTGTCTGTATCTTTGTGGTGACTGCCACAGTGTGAGGGCAGCTGCTCTTGCCTAGAAGTAGAAAAAAATTGCTAAATCCCACAAAACTGGTAAATCCTTTGTTTGTTCCAAATGAAAAGGGAATATCTCAGAAAAACTATATAGGAGACATTGTAAAAAACTATTTTGAAGGCATTATTATGATGTTAATAAACCTAAATTATTGAACTTTAATTTTAATAAGGAGCATTCCAGCTTGGTTTATATGCCATTTTAGTTGCTCTTTGTAAAATTTTTTGGCATTTCACACAATTAATGTCAGTCTAATGACAAGTGTGATTCTTACCTGGTTTTGATCAGGCACACATAGACATGGAAACAATTGCTACTTCTGGTATGTAATACCTTATCTTGAAAGAGAATTTGGGAGAGATATTATTAGAATAACTACTGGCTTCCTTAGAATAATTATCCTGCTGTGACTTAGGGGGTGTTTTCAAGTCTCAGAAATTAAAGTTTCTTCTTGTGTATACAATTCATGTTTTATCTACAGGACATAACTCTTTCTTGACAAGACAAACTAATCACTTTTTAACTGGATTTTAGTGCTTTGCCATTAATGAGCAAGTCAGGCAAATGATAAAAGATTTATGACTATTCAGATATTGTTCACAGTTCAAAAAATATATGCTTTAGATCTGTATGGACAAGATTATTTTGGATTTGTGTTTTACAGCAGCATTTCAAAACTTGTGTTGAAGCTTACCATAGAAGGTTAATTTTAAATGAGTAAAAATTTGGCGTTGGTTTTTGTGTAGAAAGATTTCAGGTTTTGTAAAACCAAGATGATTTCAGGTGCACTTTTCTTACCCAAACAATTATAATGACATATGTCTTTTAATCTCTCCATTATATAAATAGATAAAATAGTTCTGAAAGGGAGAAAAAGTAAAACTAAATACTCAGAAGTTGCTGAAGTTTTTAATTTTTAAAAATTGAATTTTCTCTTCAATGTCAGTAATTTTAGGTGTTTTTAGTTACATGGCACAATGTCAGTATGCAGGCAGATTATTTTTATTTATTTATTGAGATGATTATGTTGCTTTCTTTAAGGTACTGATTTACAAGCAAAGTGCATACTGATGATTGCCAAAATTATTTTTAGTTCTGTGTGTAAGTATCAATGTCTGGCTATGTTATCTTTGTAGATAAATGAAAGAAAAACGTCTTCTGCAGCCTCTGTTTTTCAGACCTTTTGGTTTTCTAAAATACTTCGTTTTGCCTCCTGGTGGCTTGAGATGGAGAGGATTCTTGTCATTGCAGAAGCAGAGGTGGATAAATATAGAGCCTTTCTGAATTTAGGTTTGTGTCCACAATGCCAGCTGATAGTTCTCTTCCTAAGTGAAGATTCACCTAACATAAATACTTGCACATTTAAAGCAGATGATAATAAGGAGGACAAAGACCTCCCCAGGAACGAATGTACTGAACTTTTTTATCTTGTTTAACCCCTAAGTAAATTTACAAGCCAGACCACAGAGCTATTAACTGTATTTGCTTGTAAAACTTACTCTGTAAACTCTCTTTGATTAAACATCCATTGACTTTTTCTGGTCAAAATGGACTGTAAATTGCTATAAATGGAGTGTAAGTTTCAAATGCTAAGTTTAAAAATCAACAAAATTAATGCACCACTCTATAAATACATATGTATGCAGTACAGAAGAATGATTAAGATTGGGCTCTGTTTCACTTATATAGCTTAATTTTCATGTAATTTGTAGCAATGCGTAGCTGTGCAAACAGTGTTTCTTTCTTCTTCTATCACAATAAGTAGACTAGAGGCTATAAATGTATACTTCAGGCTCTGCTATCAGAATTGCAGGTGGTTCTGGCAATGTGACCCCTCTGCCATGTGACACAGGGACATTAATGTGAGACTAAAAGTTAGGACTATTCCAAGGCTGCTCTACTGCTCCAGTACTATAGTCCTAGGATAGCACCAAGGGTTGCACGCAGCAGGAGTGCCCTGTCAACCACACAACACTGCTCTAGCATTCCTAAAGGCTGAAGATACTTATTTTTAGCATGTCTCGCCTTGAATGGTGAGTTTCAGCATTCATAATAATATTTGTGAAGTGTTTTTTTCCATCCTTTTCCCTTCAAATTCATTCTCTTAACTTACCCTCTTCTTATATAAAGTGACTTAAGACCTTATTGGAAAATATATGAACAATGAGTAATATAATGTGACTGGCACAAGTGCATCTCTCCTATCTGTGATAAAGCAGGAAAAGGTAGTATCCTTTTATGAGCATTTACCACTGTAAAAGCTGACAGCATCTAAAGTTAAGCATGAAACACCATCTTGGGAAATCATTTTTAGCACTTGCCCTTTGCAGTTTACCTTAATCTTTGAGATAGAAGCACATCCCTTTATTGGTGACATGAATAAACCATTGGACTTGCTTCAGAGATAACAGCTCATTTAAAGGTGAGATTGAATCAGTTGTTGAAAATAGTCTATTTGGAGAAGCTTAAATGGCTTCACATATCTTAGTGTCTCACTGAATTGATTTCTGCCCCATCTCTCATGTGTTCTTGGAGGGAGAGATAATAATCATTTTAGCAAAGATAGGACTGAAACTCCTTAAATTGCAAATTTAAGCAATGACATGCATCTTGACATGCGTCTTTTTTTTCTGTTGAGATTTAATTTAACGGTGTGTTATTTTATCTTAACTGATGACAATAAAAGCCCTACAGAAGTCAGTTTTTAGGGAGTTGTTATATAAAAGATAAAGTCCCCATTCAAAAAGCAGCAGTAAAATTAGTGGCATACTTTATTCATCAGGAAAGGACTGGCCAACAGCAGTAAGTTTCTAGAAATGTGTAAAGGTCAGGTGCTTGCTTCCTGAGAATTTCCAGCAACAGCTGGAGTTGACAGATGACGTTTTAGGGCAGAGTCTCCTCATCATCAGCCTCAGCAGTTCTCCTGTTCATCAGTTATTTTATTTGTTTATAGTGTTCAACTATTTAAAGTGAAAAACCATTATACTCTACTGTTCTGAGAAGCACATTGTCAGTTAAGATACAGTTATGGCAATTGGAAACAGTGATCACATCTGTGTAGAAATACCCGTAGGCTTTTGGGTTTGGTTTTTTTATTTTTTTCATCTACTGTGGGCACTGTGAAATACTAAATTTTTATCTGTAGTATGTCTAGAGGTTTTGGTAAAGCTTTTGGAGGTGGATGTGATTTCATTTGAAATTTCTCACATTTCCTTAGCCATGATTAAACTAAAATTAAATGTGATTACTTTGTTTTCATCTATGTGGATTTACATGTTTCACATTACAGGCAATGCTCGGAATAAATGTTTTGCATAGGTTCATATTACTGATGAGGTTCATGTGTTGTAAAAATAGAACCTGTTGATCATGTGCTTTACAAATCATGGTAGGTCTGTTTCCTTTAAAAGCAGAGATTGTAAACATGCAACTAAATTATAAGAATGTGTCATTCTTAATTTACTACATTTTTGTTCTCATTGGAGTCAAAGCTGCGACAATGTTAAAGCAAGGCAGTGAAAAGGAATCAGCCAGAATTTTAGGCAAAGCAATAAACTGCATTCACAGCTACATGTTTTTCTTGACTAGCAAAATATGACAGAGTGGATCCCAAATTAGACTATGCAGGCAGAGACATGCATCAAAACAAGAAGATGTGGGAACTGTGTTAAGCAATTACAGTCTAGTTTCTGTACATGGAGTTCAGCTTTTAACTTCACACAGTGCTGTGGCAGCAACAGAAAGATGCATTAAAGCATGTGCTATGTGGATACTTGGTGTTTTGGGAGCTGATTTCCTTTCAGGAAGAAAGCCAGTGGGCAGTTCAGTTGTCTTACTTGATGGACTGGGGATTCTGCAAGGTTGGGTCTCCTTGTTGTAGTTGCCTAGTAATGTCTGAAAATACACCAAAGTGCTACAAAAGTTTCTGTCATGGCTTGTGTTACCACCCTGGCAAGGTTGAAGTGTCCCTGAGACAACCTGAAAGACTGGGCAATGCTAAGTCCACTTTTGCTGGATACCAACTTGCCTCAGTGAATTCATCTGTGCAGGAAATCTGGTTTTAGTTCTGTTTGTTCTCTGTACCAGCTCCTTTCACATGTGATGGACCATGCAGCCCTTGTGTTTTGACAGTCTTCCCTTGCAGAGAACTGTATTCTTTTTGTAACATTTTCTTAAACCCTCTTATGTGTAGAATTGATGGATAAGATACCTAAAGGTGATACCATCATACCCTTTGTATTGTCTCATTTTGATACATTTTCCAGAGCTGCTAAGCAACCAAGCAGGTGGTGCCCATTACTGAACCTGACGTGGGCAATTGGTGCAAGCTGCTCAGCAGGTTTTACCCATCAGACCCCATAGAAATGGTCACCTCTGATTCTTGTTAACAGCGCTTGTGGAGAGTTACAGCACTGAGTACATTTTGTATTTCTTTTTCTCTTGTCTTAGGTTTTCTACCCTAGCAAAGATGGCACTAAAATCCCAATGTTTATTATTCACAAGAAAGGAATTAAATTAGATGGTTCTCATCCTGCCTTCTTGTATGGATATGGAGGCTTCAACATATCAATTACACCAAGCTACAGGTAAGCAGGGTGATTCACAACTCTTCTTATTAGTATCTAATATTAACAGCTGTCACAGACTGTGGGCAGGGTGGACCATGAATCTGACAGGATGCATTTCAGGACCTAAGAAGCAAGATGGGGGCCATAAGGGCTGTCCAGGCATCATTTGTCTGCCTTGTCGGAGCAGAGAAGTGTCCTTCTCTCCTGATGTTTACAACAGTCACCCTGCCCTTAGGATTACACCTTAACCTCTTCTTGCTCTATCACTGAGTTCAACAGAAAAACATGGACAAATATATTAAAGGAAATATTTGAGCCCATTGTTAAACTATTAGCATAGGAAGTTTTCTTTTTTCCAAGTTAAACAATTGCCTATATCCAAATATTATAGAAAATCAAATGTGTGACTAAATTAATGTAAATAATTTAAATTTGGCTGCATTTTCATATTATACTTTTGAGATTACATCAGAAACAAAATCCTTCTGTGTCCCATATGATCAGGAAGGAGGATTGTGTTTTGAGACGCAAATGATACAAATGCAAAGCAACACATTGTAAACCAAATATGCTGTGTTCAGAACAGGCTTTGTAGCTCTCAAAAGCCGTAAGCTTTATTGCATAGATGATTTCTTTAAAGAAAAGGCTTATTTCTTAAGCAAGGCAATTTGAATAGACTTGCCAAGAAGCAGTGCTTGAATACCTAAGAAATGCTCCTAGGTGAGGCAGAGAAAAACAGAAGTGGAAAGGGCTGAATAGAGAACAGTTTTTCAGGAAGCAGAAGAGTAGCTCACCAGAGAAAAATAATCTATTATGAAACAATCCTATGAAATTTATGATTGTTACCTACCAGTCTTGCTTTAGAGTTGCACATTTCGAGAAATCCTTTATAGTGCTTGCCCTTCTTGTTTGCTGTGATTGTATTTCTGAATAGCATTTACTGTTTCTTGTCCTTTTTAGCAAATATCTTGTCTAACAATGGACCTCCCATCTTGTGCTCTGTGATTATTTGTAAGCTTTTTATCTGCCTCAAAGCTACACTTCTAATTTTCTGTGGTTCTTGAGACATAATTATATGACTAGCATAGCTTTAAAATTCTTTTCTACTTAGTTCAACCACTGATTTATTACAGTTTATGGTAGATGCTGAAAACTGTGATAAAACTTACCATGTTTTCATTTTTAAAGAATGTAAAATAAATATTACCTATCTATTGATTTAAGGTAAAATTCCACATACTGCAGAGCTGGTTGCTGGAAGAAGGAGAAGGTATTTCACAGTCCCTGCTTCCCCGCCCATCCATTGGCCCTGGTGTTTGCTGGAGCCTTTGCTAAGCTGATTTACCTCACAAGAATGACAGAAAACTATCCCAGCAAAACAGAGTGGGTGGTTTTCTGCCATTTTGGCAAGCTAAAAATTGATTCTCGTAGGAGTCCAGAAAACAGCAGCAAAAGGGTGCAGCTGACATTTAGAAGAGAGGAAGATGGGAGTTAGGAGCAGTGACCTATATTTTCCTGAACCCTATGAAACCTTCATTATACAGTTCATAAATTAAGAATATGAATCTGTAACAGTCCCTTAAAAGTGCACAGAGAACTATCAGTGATCTCCAGATCAAAATATACGATCCCACTGACAATGTAAATAAAACATAATTGGCTGCACCTCCCTCCTTACTCTCCCTGTAATATCAAGATATGATTTCTCAGTTTTCTCTTTCTAAAAGAAAAAAAAAAAAAAAAAAAAAAATAAAAAAATAAAAAGAAAAGCCAAAGCCTTCAAATACATGTTTATGGCTAATAACTTGAGAATTGAGTATTTGGTGAGGGAATGTGTTCCAAAAGTCGGCAGGCAAAATCAGGGAAAGGAAATTGGAAGACGGAATTTATGTCAGAAAGGCAGGATGTCCAGTTCACCCTTTACCTGGCAGATTCCACTAATGTTTTATTCCATCCCTGTTAGAATATACTCCAGAATATTGTATTCCACAGGGAGTACTCCACAAGGAGTTCCCACATGCTGTTCCATCCACAGCCCAACATCAAGATTTGGTGGGGCTTTGTTTTGTTTTGTTTTGCTTGTTTGTTTGTTTGTTGGGTTTGGGTTTTTGGGGTTTTTTATGACCACAGACACGAGTGCTAGAAAGCAGCCACAGATGGCTAAGGCTGAGGCTTGCCACATCATTCATCTAATTCTGAGCTGAGATGTAGCATTCCTGGCTAAATACTCCTAGGCTTTTTTACTTAAACTTAAAACTCTTAAAACTTTCCACAAAGTATTCTATCTTCTCCTTTCCAGTGGTTAAATTATGTCCTGTATGTCTTCCAGCCTATACAGTATTTTATTACTGGTATTTTACTTCCATTAGCATAAGCCAGCTCTCTGGTTTGATGAACTTATTTCTGCTTAATTCACAAATGGTGTTCCTTTTCACATCAAAAATGGAAAAAAAAATCTTTTTCACTGAAAGCAATAGAAACAAACCAACAGGTTACAGGATCCAGAAATAACTGCAAGAATGGTAGGCCAAAGTCATTAAGTCAGTTACAGTAGTGGTTTATTTTTGAATGCAAGCATGCATCTTTCAGATGCTTCTCTGGACTGGGGAACTTCATTTGGTGGCATTTTGAGATGGTGCTTGCTAGAGCACTGTCATTAATTATACAGCCCACATAGCAAGTGCAAGCAAAGGCTGATGGAGCTGGTACCAGTCAGAGCTGCTGGGGAAATGCCATCACAAACCCACCACTAATGCCTCAGATTTGGCTAACTACACTGTAGGAACCAACATGTTTCCCTGCACTGTTCTTTGTGTGTGCCTGCGTGGGTACAGGAGGAGCAATTTCTAAGTCATCCTGGAGTACAGCTGGTTGTGCAGCAGTCTGTGAAATTGCATATCACTGCCATTTTGTTCCCATCCTTTAAGCACAGAGGTGGTGCAGGGAAGAGAGATTGTGAGCCTGGAGAAAGGTCAGACAACAAAGCAGCCCTCAGTGCAGAGTAGAGGATTATGCCTTTTGCTTATTCTGTTACTCCTCTCTTCAACTCTACAAAAACTTAAAAAGCAACCAAGTCCAGTGGCTCAGGACTTCTTCCCCATCGCCTGTGCACTAGCCTGCATTTTTCTGTCAACTCTTAATACCTCACAACAGATCAGTAATTCTGGAGAAATGTTCTTGCTCTGTGAAGCACAGCTCCTCACATTGTTCTCTACTGTAAAAAAACAACATCTAATGTATTATTTTTTTGTTTTTTGCTCCTTAAGAGTGATTAGAGTGTCTGGAAGGAGCTCTCCATAGCAGGAACTATCTTCTGATCCTTCCACTGACTCCATCTTGATCCTGTTGCCCTTCACTTTACTCTGCTTCCAGGAGAGAAGGAAGAACAGGGACAGTGAGCAAAAGGCTACAGAGACTATTGGAAGGAGCGGGGAGCCAAACTTTGTTTTGCAGAATGAGACATTTCATAGACGTGCAGGTTGACTGGGCAGTTTGCTGTGACTCAGACACCAAGCTGACTTGAAATCAAATCTGGAAGCAAGAATCTACCTGGAAAAATACTGGAGGCAGTAATAGGGTCGTGTGTAAAACTTGAGCTTTGTGCTGCCTGATTACTTGGAATTTTCACTTTTAAAAAAAGTAATGAGTTTGGATTCTATAGTTGTAATACCTCGTTCCTTGAACTTAAAAGTAAAGGTCAAGAGAAAAGCTTTGAGAAAGTTTGTTACAAATATTCAAAATATTGGTCCTGACTCACCATGATCCTTCAGACAGGAGCAGTTTCTTTCAGTAGATGGAAGAAGATGGCTTCTGTTGTGGAATAATTTATTTTTTAAAGTATTCTCAGGCAGGATGTTTGGGAAGCAAACTTTTATCTTGCCTGTAATTGTTACTTGGTACTTCTGATTATTAGGGAATCAAATAAGTTTGGATCAAGAGGTCCAAAGTTTGAGGCAGACAAGGAAAAGAAGTGCAGAATATTTTGGGAGGGTTTGTACTCTACATACCAAAAATTAAGAAGCCAGTCTCATAAGGCAACCTTCTCTTAGGTTACTCCACATTAGCTGTGTAGCCACCTTAAGAGTCCTGGAGTTTGACAGAATAATACTCTCTGACCTTTGCAAAATGTGCTTATAGAATAGCAATCTTGCATTTGATCAGCATGTCACAGCAGTGTAAGGAAAATGTAATTCACAGTGATGGTCTTAAGAATTCATTTTACAGAAGCTGAGATAATTCATGGCTCCTGAGCCATCTGATGGGCCAGATAACCAGCCTAGGTGGAAGGTTTTCCTTTGACGGTTATGAAAATACAGAAATCTCTTACCAGTTATCCTTGTGCTTTTCTTTTTCTTTCCTTACTCCTTGATATATACTCTCAAGAACATGTGCCAGTACATAGGTAATTTCTTTGGGAAGTATGAAAACATCACCTGTTGTTGGGATACTATATCCACATGAGACACACTGTAAGACTACCATTTTTCAAGCCATTTCTTATTAGTGGGACTTTAAGGGAAAAAGACAAAATCCTTTCCCTTGTGGTTGAACAGATTTATTTTCTGCAGACAGTGATTTCTGGATGACCAAAAAATTCAAGTAAATAAGAAATTTAAATATACTAGAGGGGGGAAAAAAGACTTGTTGCTGTTAAATTTTAATATTTTACTTGTCTCCTTAGCATATGTGTGGTTTGCCTTCTGCAGCTTCTGCTATATTAAACTACTGCATCAACTGCAGATCAACAGTTAATATTTTTTAATTGTTAAATATAATTTGAATTACTTCAGTCCATTTGAAAAAGAAAAGATAATAATATCTTTGATGCTTTTGCAATTTAACATTTCTAAAAAATATGCTATTTTGGCTTTCAGACAGGTTCAGGAGATAGTAGGGGAGGCAGAACCTGTAATTTTATGTTATACTATTTGTTTTGTATTTAGCAATGTGAGAGAAAACTGAATGAGAATGAGATTGACCACCTGCTGATGTGACTGCTGACTGTGGCACAAAAGAATGGTAGATACAGAATTTTTCTTTGCAAACACAGTATTGCAAAGGTCCAAAAGAAGTATATCAAGCAGAAGTTAGGTTGAAAATACCTGCTCATAAACAAAGATCAAGTGCTGATCTTAATTCTTTGATTTCTTCCTTTGGGCTAAATCTTCCTTTCCTCTCTGAAGAAGTGGAGGTCCCATGAAGGAGAAACAATTCAGAAAGCTATGGAGGTCCAATGGTACTGCATAACTCTAGCCTGCAGACTAATTGCTTTGAACATAATTTTTGTAAATGGTGACTCATTCTGAGTGGTCATCTGTTAGGCCAAACCACTGGCCACTCTCCTCCAAAGAGCAGAACTAAGGGAGGAAAACCAGACCAACATTGGTTCCTTCCTCTCCTAAAGCTGCTGGGAGTTTCATTTTCATGGATAACAATTACAAAAAGCCTAGCTACTCAGGTTCACTATCAAGAGGGACTTAATTCACAATTTCATCATTGACTTTGGGAGAGATCTTTCCCTCAAAGTATTTTTGCAGAAGTGGTAGGTGTATAAAAATTGGAAAATAAAAATTATCCTCTTATCTGTTTGCTTTTTCAGCGTGTCAAGGCTTATTTTTGTGCAACACCTGGGAGGTGTTCTAGCAGTGGCGAACATCCGGGGTGGGGGCGAATATGGAGAGACCTGGCACAAAGGTAAGGCAGTCAAAGCACAGGAACAAAACTGCAGGCTTAGCAATGAAAATTGCAACATTTTCTTTTCACTCCTTCCTCCTTTTGCATTTTACTTATTCTGCAAAAAGTAGATCTTTTTCCTTACTTACATGTTAGATCTGTACGTTTTCCAGTGTTAATCTGATAGTTTTCATCTATTTTCAGAGTATAACTTTTTCTATATTGTTTTTGCATAATTTATGAATAGACACTTTTTTTTTTTAATATTTGATGAATGTGACTGGAAAGATGTGTTCAACAAAAGGATTTTCAAGCACTGGAACAGGCTGCCCATGGAAGTGGTTGAGTCAGCATCCCTGGAGGTATTTACAAGACACATAGATGTGTCTTAGGGACATGAGAGTGCTGAGTTGACAGCTGAACCTGATAATCTAAAAGGTCTTTTCCAACCTAAATGGTTCTGTGATTCTGTGACTGAAGTTCATACGAAAAACATCAGCTCCAGAAGTGCATTCACATCATCCCCTCCAAGCTCTTGGGGTATCCAACTTGTAGGTAACCATTTGACCTTCTAGGTTTTTTTTTAAGATGAATGTCATGCCTCAGGGAAACTCAGTAAACACTGAAAAGCTCTGTCAATCTCTTTTCCCTTTTTCTTAACACTTTTGATGTATTTCTGTCCATGTTTTTTCCATGCAGTTCTTGTCTTAATCATTTAACTGTCTTTGTCTACTTGCCTTATTGTTGACAACTGTCCACATTCCTCCACCAGGGGAAAAAAGCTTGAAAAAGTCGTTCTTATCTCAGGAACATACCTATCCTTTTTTAATCATGACAGTTTAGTCATATTCCAGGAATCTGGTGCATAAGTTGCTGGGAATGTTGTGAGCAAGGCAAATGTACCAAAACAGTGGTGCTTATGATCTAGCAATTTGCCATGGCAGTAATCCATAATATCTTTTTATCAGACAAAATGGTATTTCCAGATCATTGCATCTTGATTTTACTATTTCATCTCTGGTAAATTGTCTGGGTCATTTCCTCACAATTGAGTTAATTATGTAATAGTTTCATAAATAGAAACTGTATTTGCTTGCAGATACAGGATATTATTGCTAAAGATGAAATATCCTTCATTAATTTTAATTTGCAGATTGATTTGCAGTAGATTTTAATAAAATTTATCTTAATGTGATAATGCTTCTTTGATCCACCTATTTCCTGCTTGATTTTGACCCAAGTCTTTTATTGCAGTTTGAAATAAAATATGTATCTGTTCTTTTTTAATTCCAGAAGCAATTATGGAAGTTTTTTTTTTCACTTAGGTTTAATTTTAATTAGGATTCTGACCTTACACCAGCCTGGTGTTTTGAGCAAGGAGTAAGATTTTTTTTTCCTTTATTGCCACCTGCTTGAAGACTTTTTTGTCACCCCAGCATGTCTCCCTTCAACAGTCTTGTTAATACAGGAATGATGTGTATTTGTTAAAAAAAAACCCACAAAAAATACAAATGTACTGGTTTCAATTCTACAAGATCTTTATGACTAAATGTCAGACTTACCTTGCTAAACTTCTGTGACATAGAAACAAATCAGCCATTGTAAACTGGTTGTCTAGGATCACTTGATGGAGATTGGAGATAAAGAGACACCTCCAGACTGTAGCTCGTCTCACTTAATTTAGGGTAAAAGTTAATTTAGGGTAAGTCCTGGAGGTTCCTGGATCATAGGGGGAACCTTAGGCAATCAGCTTGGAATAACCATCTAGCTTTTAAAGAAAGTAGAAGAAACTGGACTTCATTTCTGCATCCTATAAGCCCTGCTTGCCTGGCTGGGCCACTGCCTTTGCTACAGGAATGCAAGGATTTTCTTCCTAGTTTCCATTTTTTACTAGCATTTAATTTCCTAAGATTACCATGGTCTTTAGGTATGATAACATTTGAGGAGGATCTAATTTTAGTCTCTTGCCAAACAACCAAGATTTGAACAACTGTGAGTTCTCTAAGCTGATACTCTTCTATTAAAATAATTGAAAGATTATAGGGAAAACCATCCTTTTCCTTCCCTATCCCACCCTGCAATTTTTTTTTTCAGACCTGGAGATCTTATCAATGATGTCATCAGAACCAACATTTTCTGTCATTATTTGTTCCCTTATACATCTGATAACATTTGGAATTTCATTCAACGTGATGGCAGTATCTTAAGCATTTTCATATTGAAAGTTAATTAACAAAATTTCAAAGCAAGATGCAACTCAGAGAGCTTTATATCATCTGGTTTGAAAACAACTCATAGAAAAAAAGAGTAAATTACCAGCCACATATTATATATCCAGGAAATTAGAAGTGCTTATTTTATATAGCCTATTTTATAAGCTGAATCTTTATTGCCTTAAGAAACTGTCACTGAGTTTAAGGATGTTAAAGTCCCATTAGCTCAAACCTCAAGTGTGTTGTATGTGGTCATTTTGTATATATTTTGCTGTGCAAAGCTTTTAGCTTTCCTTTCACTGGTTAGGAACATTACCTGGCACTTTCTCCACAGTATAGGTATGTATTATTCAGAGTTTCTGAAAGCATCAGAGTTATTGACAGAACCATCTTACAGCCTCTCAATGTTGACAGAATCTTTCATTTTTGCTGTTTTTCTAAGCTGCATCAATTATTAAAATATTCATTAAACTGGAATTGTTCCCAGGTATTTTTGGACACATGTTTTTCTGAAGAGATGGTATCAAAAGGATTTTATGGTATCAATTGATTTGTTTTGTTTCCGTGCTAGGTGGTATCTTGGCCAACAAACAAAATTGCTTTGATGACTTTCAGTGTGCTGCCAAATACCTCATCAAGGAAGGCTACACATCCCCAAAGAAGCTGACTATTAATGGAGGCTCAAATGGGGGCCTCTTAGTTGGTAAGAACTGCTTGTCTATTTCCCAGATTTGGTGCTGGGCTTATTAAAGTAACCAGACAGAAATTGATGAGATCTGCCAGTATGTCAGTGCATTAATATATACCAGATGTTAAATATGTACAGTAGTACTTCATTTGCTGTTTGCACAGGACATTGGAATTCTGCAGTCTCTTGCAAAGGCTGTTAAAAGCCACACAATCTTGTGTGGTAAGAGTTAACCTTGTGGTAGAATCACACAGAAAGTAAGAATGGCTTAAAAAACATGGGATTTTTTTAATCTTTCTTTCTTCAGGTTAACCATTACAAAGTTACCACTGAACTATTAATTCATATAACACTGGGAAACTGTGTGTGGTCTTATAAGTGCATCATGTTCACTTAAAATTCACTGCTGTATTCTTAAATTCAAGGAAATTAATAGCCTCCTCTTAAACAGAAGTCTTGTCAAGGAAAGATCTCATTCTGAACAGTCTAAGAGTTACAAAATATATTTCTGATAAGATCCCTATCTGAAGGCATCTGAAAGTAACAGTAGAAAAAAGAAGGTGATTTTTTGTGCAATTTTGAAAGGAAAAGGAGGCACAAAGTAAATGTATCAGGGTCTGTTTGCCTTTTTTAAGCAGCATGAAAGGTAACAGTATGACAGATTTGAGCTACTTATGTGAAAAGAAGGTAGAAAAGGCACCTCAAGTTCATAAACCACTAAATTACAGAAAACAAGCAGTTTTCCTAGGCCCACTCTGCTTGCTCTTGTTTTTGTATTTATCTGCTGCTCTATACTGACTCTATTGATTTTATTCTGTTTTTCAGTGAATTGGCATCCAGCATAAGAAAAAGGATTTGGAATTACACAGCTCTTTGGTCTAAGCCATCTTGGCTAGACCTGCATTATTATTTTTAAAAAGAAATTGTTTTAAAGATCAAGTAACAAGTACTTGTAAAGCTGTATTTTGGGTTTTGCTTATATGCTTCTCAATAACAAGTGGCAGAAGGTGTTTCTGCATTAAAAATAGAAATGGGTGAATATGATAAAGGATTAAAGGGTTTGTACTCCATTTGGAATGCAAGCATTTACAAGTCAGTTTTATGTTGGGCCTAAATATATAGTTGGAAATACAATTAAAATTTGAATATATTACATTTCTTCTGAAAATACTTTATCGTTATGTGGACTTCACTTCAGTCAGGATGAGATTCATCCTACCCAGCTTCAGTAAGAAAACCCCCTGGGTTACTGGCTGAATATTCAGCTGGGCACCTTGTGTCAATAAGGGGAAGCAAGTGACAACTGCAGGAAGTACATCATTCTTGTAGGAGACAGGTGTTAGGAATCTAGACCTTCCTGCTCTAAAAAATCTTGTTAGAATCCTTCCCTTGAATTTATGGTAGATTTCAGTCCAGCAGGATGTCTATGCTCTTGATGAGCCAGATAGGGATTTTACTTGACTGAGGTGAATTCAGGAAATTCCTATAAGGTCTTTTTTATCAAAGCAAAAGTAAATTTAAAAATAGTTGCTAATGCAGCATTAGAGATCATAACTCATCATTTAGGTTCAAGGACCCACTGCCAGATTTTCTTCGTTCTTATTTATTGAAGAAAAAGCTGACAAGGAAGAGTATTGTCACTCTTCCAAAATACTGTTTCCTTTCAGTCATACTAGCAGGAGAGGACTCTGAGGACTACAGAGCCCTGAGCTCATCTTGCCTCATTCAACTGCAAAACAAGACTTCCTTGTCCTGCAGTGTGATCCCCAAGCTAAGCAGAGCAGCACAGCTGTGAGCTGAAAACCTCTGTGCAAGTGCAGTGTTTGACCTCTCATGTTTGCCTAGACAACACCAATTCTGACATTTTGAAGGCTTATTTTCATACTGAATATAAAGCTCAAAGTTATGTATAGGGGCATAAAATTCACAAATAAATTGTTGTTCCAGATTACACTTAATTAATGCATATCATTATTATGGCTAATTGAAAAGGTGCAGTGTGCATGGATGAGTGGCTCCATAGGTGATTTCTCACTGAAGTAACTACTTAAGGAACTAGCAAGAAGCAATTTCTTCCAAAATCCTGAGTGACAGTGCTTCAAGAGACACTTTGAAATAAAGAATATTAAAACAAAATGTTATGGTAATTGTTTTGACTTTTGTTCCTACCACAATATCATTTATGTTCATAAAAGAAGATAGCTTGAAGAGGAGGGATCTGATATTTATGTTAAAACCTAGAGATCTTTTACATAGCATCTTTTTAATATGTACCTTATGGGAATTACTCATAAATAAGGAAGAGTTAGCAGAGTTGCATATCAGAGATGACCAGAAGTAAAATTTCGTTTTTCAGAAAGTAAAAATCATGTTTAAATGAAGAAAATAGTGTATAGTGTAAACTCTTGGCAGGGATGGACAGACCACAGGAGACTGATGAGAAAATTGCTTTCAATAATAAGATTAGCAATGACATTTTTCTATGCACATCAGAGGCAGGAAGCTGGCCAGATGATCTGTGGGACTTGCAGGTTAGTGAGATGTAAAAGGAGCATTAAAGAAAATTAATTGCAAATCAGAACAACTAAATGGTCTGTTTGTATTGATGTTCCCTCCTGAGGAGAGGGTTGGGGGTTCCCTGCACCAGTCTGTCTTCATGGGAAGTATTCTGGGGAGCTCCAGTTGAAGCATCAGCAGGAAAATTTCAGAATTAATCAATCCAATGAAAAGTAGTGTGTTGCCAGGACCAGATGGTGCACGTGCAGGATCCTAAGTGAACTCTGACATGAAATTGTAGGCTACTAAGCCTGAATGTCTGAGGAACAGAAGGGAGCAAGTGTAATGCCAAGATTTAAATGAATCATGGTGATCCACAAGCTGCAGCTGAGTAAATCTGACTTCTCTAATGGGCAAGCTAGTTGAAACCAATAAATAATAGCTGACATAAAAGAAAGAATTCTGCAGCCTGAAGTTGCAGCTTTCAAACGTCTGCAGGCTGAAGTTGCAGCTTTCAAATGTATTACAGCTATCTGAAGAAGTCAAGCTACATATGGGGTTTGTAACAGTGATTTAGGTGAGGAGCTATTCTTGGATTTTCAAAAGCTGTGAAAGAAAGTCCTTGCTGAGCTGGAAGCAAAGTCATGTCATAGCAATGTCATGGTTAGCAGGAGGCAAAGAGTGGCGGTAATCAATCCATTTTCACAATGGACAAAAACAAGGAGATAAGAATTTGGGAAAGATTATACCTACATGTGGATGCACAGTGAATAGTTCTGAATTAATTAAGGGATTCTGGGATCTATTGTAGTAGTTGTGTGATAATTTCAGTGCTCTTATTTCTTAAAATTCAAAAAAGGCAGAGGAATTTGTAAAATCACCAGGGAAAAGGTTTAAATCAAGAAACAGTAATTGGAATTGAAGATTATGATATGATGAACACTGGATGAATAAAGAGAGAGGAAACAGTTATATTTACAGAGGTTTTGTTAGATTTTTTATAGGATGGCTGAAGATAACTCCAAGTTAGAGAAACGGAAATAACCAATTAATCAGATTATAATTTACAGGAGAGATCTCCCAGTTGCCATTCTTATACATTGAACACTGAGCTCGATGGGCCTACTGCAGTTATTTTTAAAATATATGAGGCAAGCATTATTATTAAAGAAATTGTCCCTTCCAGTTGTAGGAAGATAAAAAATGTAAAACAAGAAAATACAGAAGCAATTCACTTTGTTATTCCACTGTTCTGTAACAGTCTGCTTTTATCAAGACTCTTTTCTTATGGGTTTACATAGTAGTAATGGAAGACAATTTTCATCAGTAAATGGAGGGCTTTTGATCCTTAATGCCCTTTTCTTTCTTGAGACTAGTATTAAAAGTTTAAACAGCAAATAGTTTAGGTACCTTCAGTGCAGTAGTTCAAAATGTCACATGCTTTACAAGTTCATTTCTCCTTCAGTCCCAATTTGGTGGTTTGAAAGGAAGTTTTCATAAAATGACATGTTTGGTGTCTGAAGAACACAGAAATGTCTCTTAAGTTCTTTTGAACATACCATTTTTCAGAGTTACGTTTTTTATCCATTTGTGTATTTGCTTACAGTTTTGCTTGATAGTCTATTTGATTTCATATTCACTGACAGCCTGCTCCCAGTACAAGTTGGTAGTGAATCTTTTACTGTTGAACTTATTCTTTAAGATCTGAATACTAATGGAATTGTTTTCCTGTTGAAGCTGCCTGTGCTAATCAGCGCCCTGACTTGTTTGGTTGTGCCATTGCCCAAGTGGGAGTGATGGACATGCTCAAATTCCACAAGTACACCATCGGCCATGCTTGGACCACAGACTATGGTTGCTCTGACTGTAAGGAGCAGTTTGAATGGCTGCGCAAGTAAGTGCCTTTAAATACTTTCTGTGGTTGTTAAATGTGTAGTCTGCTCAACAGTTTCCAGTTGTCATGATCAATATCTATTCTAGTGATTACTTCATCCTTTCCCACACTGAATTTGGGGAGATCAGCATTCCCTTACAAGTCAGTTTTGAATCAAAGACTGTCTACAAAACCCTGTTGAATGAAGTGGTTCTGTTTTCAAAGACCTTGTTCTCCTATCAGCTTTTAACAGTTCATAAGGTTTTTTTTCTGAATAATGACTCTTTTAGGCTATTGCAACAGAAAATCTCAAGTGGATCACTACGTAAATTGTATTTTTTACCATGAGGGAGACATGGTCACCATTGTGAATTGTATTATACAATGTGGGTTGGATTTGTAGGAATTGAATGACACTAAACCGTAGTAAGATCTTAATTAATTTCTCAGCTTCTGTTGAGAGTCTCAATTTCCCTGTTTCCAGCAGGATGGATCCTGCTATGGACTTGACAGGTTTTGCTATAGTTTCCTTTCTGGCTTCTGATATTTGGACATTCCTGTGAGATGTACACATACATCTCTCTTGAAAATAAAGAAATGTACTTGCTTCACATTTCAGAGCCAGAGATCTGTGGCCACTACTACGTGTCAGTTGCCATTAGCACAATTCTGATTAATGTAACTGAGAACTGTTGTATTCTGAGTACTAACAAATGCCACTGTGATGGTTTCAGTAGGAAAGGACCTTCTTGCTGGGTCTTGAGGAAGAAGATATGGAAACATTTGTGTGTTTTTCTCAGGTACTCTCCACTTCACAATGTCAAATTACCAGAAGAAGATGACATCCAGTATCCCTCCACACTGCTTCTCACAGCAGACCACGATGACCGTGTGGTCCCTCTGCATTCTCTGAAGTTCATCGCTACCCTGCAGTACATTGTGGGCCGAAGCAGTAAACAAACCAATCCACTTCTCATCCATGTTGACACCAAGGCTGGGCATGGAGCCGGAAAGCCAACTGCTAAAGTTATAGAAGAAGTGTCAGATATGTTTGCTTTTGTAGCACGATGTCTAAATCTTGAGTGGATTGAATAGGAAAAATGCTTATTACTGTCTACTTTAGAAAACAAGGGCTTTAACATTTAAGAACAGCCACACTACTACTTGGTGTAGTACTTACATTTAAGAACTGCAGTTTAATATTTTATTGATCCAACCTGCTATGAAGTTTTGATCTTCTGTGCTTTCCTCTTTTTGGTATTTCTTTGATTTTTTTTCTACTGCATTCCAAACTCCATTTTGAAAAGCATGTTCAAAAAAATAGCTGAGCTACTCTCAGTACTGTTGTGAAAATGTAGATTTCAAAATTAGTGCTATTTGAGCTTCTTTCCTGTAAACAATTTTAATGTATTTCACCTATAAACATATCCAGATCATTTGTAATTAAATGTAAGTACTGTTCACATACAAGATCTCTGAGCATATTTTATTTACACAGTAATTTATTTAAGAATGTAAACTGAAGGTGTTCAGTGATAACCAGGAAAACCTGAAGAGACAGTAATCCAGTTATGCCAAATATTATTAAAAGGCTTATATTGCGTTCTGTTCATAAACGTGTTGCAGTCTATAATAATGGTTTTGCTAAATTGTTCTTTCTTTCCAAAGAGACTTCAAAATGTCACCAGTGTTCTCTTCTGCCATTTTGTTTCCACACAGAAGAGAAGACTGGAGGCTGAAAAACTTGATGAAATCTTAGGTTCTCACTGTAATCTCAGTCAAGCTATACAGATACTCTCCAACAACTCATGTGAAATTATTTCTTCAACTGTTTCTGAAGAGTAGACGAGGCACTGATTTAAATAAATGAACAAAATATAACACAAAACAAAATAAAAAACCCACCCCAACCCAAAGGCACAGCTTTGTCCAGATTTTTCAGGTTCAGTTTTTTTCTGATGCTCTTCACAGGACATTCTCTAACAAGGCAAAATCTGAACATGCATATATAACTTAGTTTTGGCTGCAAAACAGCAAGAGCTTGTAGTCAGACTCCCCTATGATTTGACATAGGCATATTATTTGAACTGCCATTTTTCCCATCTAGGCTGTAGAGCTGTAAAGTAGATGTGAGTATTTGCCTACTGTTTAATCTCTGATGCACTGCAGGAATTACAGTTTGATTTTGCAGAGGAAAAAAGTATTCTATCAACTATTATTAGTCTTGTTGGCCCTCCAGAAGACATCACTGTTTCTCATTTTTGGATGAACTGATCTAGTATTACAGAATCATGCTTGTCATTACATTCATACTTAGATCCTAAGGACTGTATTTTAACTCTGGGCTCAGGAGTTTTATCTCTAAACAAACAATGTCTTGGTGCAGGAAGAGCAAAGAGTGGTATTTAAAAGAGAGGGAGATGCTCTAAAGAGAAGCAAAAATAAAAATAAATTTGTACCAGAGTCGCTCTGTGTTTCCCTCATGATCTGGACTTCTTTTATTATTTTTGGAGTCCAGGAACAATCATGCTTATTATGTAAGGCTAATTTGACTTTAGGAGAAAATAAAAAACTATTTCTGCTTTCATATGAAATACCAGATTTAAAACCTGTATGTGATCTGGGGTTTATTGTAAATGCAGGCGAACCCAGTGGGAAGAAATGACAATGTCTGACTCAATTCAGAAGGCTGAATGATTTCTTTATTATAACTATACTAAAATACATTAATATACTATAGAAAAAGAAGATACTAAAACTACATACTACTTTCTCTGACTCTAACTCTCTACAACTCATGACCCTCTCCACACACAGGTGGATTGGACTGGCCATCAGGCTCAAACAATCCTCACCAGAATCCAATCAAGCACTCACACCAGGTAAACAATTCTCCAAACACATTCCACATAGGAAAAACAAGGAGCAGAAATAGAAATTGTTTTCTCTTTCATTTCTCTCTGTGCACCTCTATGAAAAATCCTGAGAATGAGAGAAATGTGCTTGCCACATATCACCCTTTCTGTATAAATAAAAAAGCATAAAATAAAAAAACTGCATTTGCAGTTCTTCTGCAGGGCCCTTACAAAAGAAAGCAAACACATCTCAAGAGGTTCCCTTATCAATTTGCTAGTTATCAATCAGAAGCCAAATCAAATGCCGATGTGGAACGTTCAAAGACATCCTTTACCTGCAAAACAATCAGAAACCAAATCAAATGCCAATGTGGAACGTTCAAAGACATCCTTTACAATGCAATATCAAATCTCTAAAACAAAAGTTACAATACAAAAACCGAAACAACAATTAAAAGAATGTTCAAATCCCAAAGTTCAAACAGCTGAGTCTCAGGAGAAGTGTCCATCGACTGGAGATGTTGATCTTGACATCCTTAAAAATCCTTCTCAATCCTGAAACAGAACAACTGAAGAAAGTCCAAACAACAATGAACAAACCCATAAAAAAAAAACCAAACAAATCACCAAATGTGACATATAATTATGAAACACCAAAACATCTTTCCCGTGCAAAAACCATCACCAAATTCAAAAAACTCATCTCTTGAAATGCCATGGCCAAAGCTCTGAAATCAACCACTTTCTTTCTTGTTTCTTATTTTTTCAACCATCTCTAGTTAACTAATCTTAAATCTAATTTCAATGGTTTTTTTGTTTTATTTTGTTGGTTTTTTTTGTTTGTTTGTTTGTTTGTTTTTTGTTGTTGTCTTTTTTTTTAATCGTGGAATCAGAATGCCCAGCAAGCAGCAGTACCCTGCGGAGCTGGTGGTCCCGGTCCATGTGGGCGGAACGCAGACCCCAAACCCGGCCGTGGCCGGCACGGGGGCCCAGGGCCAGAGGGCTGGACCAAGAGAAACGCTGTTCTCCAGAAAGGCACTAAACTTCGTAACTTTAACTTTCGCGGCAGCCACAAAGAGCAGCGCCAGCACCAGGGACAGGCTGGGAGGGGACGCCGAGCTGAGTGGAGGCGGCGGGGCGGGGGGACTGTGTTCCGAAAGCGGCGGGGCGGGCTGGGGGCCTTTCCCTGGGGGCCTTCCCCAGCATCACAGCTCGCACTACGAACGGGCTCTGGGCCGGCGTGAAGGCCCGGAGGTGCCTCTTTTGCCGCTAGAAGCGTGGCCGCCGGCTCCGAGGCCGGCTCAGAGGCGGTCAGGGCGGCGGGTGTTTCTCTCAGCTCCGGCTGGGGCAGAGGAGGAGGCTGCACGGCTGCGGGCAGGAGGACCGGCCGAGGGAGGCGGCGTCTCCGGCTCCGCTGGGGATGGGAGCAGCTCCACCTCTGCTGGAGGAGGCTTCTCTTGCAGGGAGGCAGAAGAAAACTTCTGAGCCCCGTACAAAGGCTCCCACAGCAAAGACTGTCCTTGAACAAGCTGATCCCTGTCCGGCCATGCCGGGGGGGCTGAAGGGCCCCCGCTGGGTGCGGGGGACTTCCACCAGCCCCCTGCAAACCTGCTCACTGGGATCCAGCTCCGGACTATCCCAAAAAGCTTTATAAAAACTATCGCGTATCGAAAGTCTGGGAAATCTCGCGCGCAGCGTTCCTTGACGAAGAAAAACAGAGATTTCCAAGCCTCTGGGTTCAGGGAAAAGGCCAAACTCCTGAAAAAAAACCACGAGTGTCTGCAAATTCAAGAAACTCCAACAAATCATCGTCGGACACAGTCTCTCCAATAGATCCGAGCTAAATCTCTCCAGACGGTATATATAAGCTGATCCTCACAATAAAAATCTGTGTCCAAGTCATCAGACGTCTCTTCCCAAAGTTAAGGTCCACCCCAGGTCAGGACAGTATTATAATCAGACAATCAGGACCTTTTCAAAGGCAGGCAGAGGCGTCCGATTACGGCAAACTGCTCGGGGCTGCACCTGGTCCTATGGAGAGGGTTCCCACGGTGTCTTACATCCTCCGATCCCTCGCAGGGACTTCGGACAAGTCTTTTCAAGAGGGTTCACCTCCTTTCCCGTGTTAAATCACGGCTGTGGACCGATCCAGGTCCTGGTTCTTCATCCAACGTTCGGGGTAACCACTTACTGTAAATGCAGGCCAACCCAATGGGAAGAAATGACAATGTCTGACTCAATTCAGAAGGCTGAATGATTTCTTTATTATAACTATGCTAAAATACATTAATATACCATATAAAAAGGAAGATGCTAAAACTACATACTACTTTCTCTGACTCTGTCTCTAACTCTCCACAACTCGTGACCTTCTCTCGAGAGTCCACACATAGGTGGATTGGATTGGCCATCAGGCTCAAACAATCCTCACCAGAATCCAATCAAGCACTCACACCAGGTAAACAATTATCCAAACACATTCCACATAGGAAAAACAAGGAGCAGAAATAGAAATTGTTTTCTATTTCTTTAATTTCTCTCTGTGCACCTCTATGAAAAATCCTGAGAGGGAGAGAAATGTGCTTGCCACAGGAGTTTATTTGGGATCCACAGGTATGAGAGTTGTTTACAAGATACTCTGTAAACTTTTGCACTCTGATCACAGCATTAAATAACCAGAATAGAGAGTTGAAGGGTAGTTGATTTTTTTTCCTTCCAGGCTGTGAAAATGGGGTACAGATTCAGCAGATTCATCCCCTTTTTCCAGAGGTATATGAACTGCTTCCTTTGATCATCTAGAAATTTTCAACAGCTTCCCCACGTGGCAGAAATAAAGCATATGAAGCTGTGCCATCTCCATTTGAAATATTCATAGATTCATAGTTGTGGCATGTAGCTTTCTATTGAATTTATAGTTTCTGTCAAGAGGGCAGTACCCAGTTCACCTCTGATACAGAGCTTTGCAGGATAGGGTGTGTGAAAACATGGTCCTCAAACATTCAAGAAATAGAGCTGAACTGTGTCGATGCATTGAATTGCAAATACCTGAGTACAACCAGCTCAGTCATCTCTAGGTCTGTTCCTAAAAATGCTTTTCCCTGTTCTCCAGTTGCTCAAGCACAAAACTTCTGGCACAGGTTAGAAGTAACTCTTTTTACTCCTGAAGCCTTCTGTTGAAACTGAGTTCCATGAATGACTCAGTGTCATGACAGATGACCCATAATCTGGGAACTTTGGAAACAAACATTTCTTGGAGTGACAATCAGTAGTCCTGAAAGTGGAGCTACTTGCTGGAGACACTGCTCACAACGTAAATGTTCCAGAGTATCTCTTGTGGCATGCTGGGGTAAGTATTGGAAAGGCATTGTGTTTCTGTAACAGGGTCATCATGTCAACATTTATTTGATCTTAATCAGCTGTGCCAAGTTCAGGATTCAGGTGCCAAAAAAATGGTGTTGCAAAGCTGTCCTGTTATCCGAGTTGCTGCTTTTGAGGCAGACAGGGTCATATTCCAGCTGGAATCTGTAATTAAGTCTGAGCGAGTAATGCTCTTGTAATATAGTGGGATTTCAACCTTTGGGGTTTTGATTAAATAGACCTGGAGCCAAACCA